CTAAAGATAACATCTAGGCCTCAGTTGTATTTCAGCCCCATGCCCCAAAAAACAGCAAAACCTAACAAGTGATACCTTAGTTGCCTCAGGACCAACTACCTTGACAAATAACCCCCTTCCCTGGAACCATCCAATCAGTGGAGACCAGGACCCTGAAAGAGAACACCTAGGAAGTTGATGAATATTCTATTAAGACCCTCCCCTGAGACCTTCCCTAAGATTTCTATCTGCAAGAGAGAGATCAATACACACAGGAAAGAGAACCAGTGTGCGCTCCCCCTGCAAGGAGCACACTTATGCCATTCCCTTCCCTTCCCCCATAGGCTTGTATCCCCTAACTCTATGGGACCCCACAAGACTTGCAACCAGGGGAGCAATGGGCAGTGGCAGCTCATCCTATACTAACCCTCTGAATCTCTCTCTTCAAAGCCCCCTTTTCTCTTACTTCTCAGTAAACCAAAGCAGCCCAGTCTAGGTTTTCCTATTGCTGCTTCTATACCCTTCCTTATTTTACTGTCCTAAATACATTTTTGCTGCAATACCCTTTGGCTCAGTGCTGTGTAGCTCTTCCCTTTGGATATCCCCATCTTCCATCCCCTTTTCCTTAAATAAATTCAATTTTTCTTTAATCTCCACCTGAGATGACTACTATTTAGCCTACCCTCACACCACCTTTCACCTGTGACTTAGTGTTGCTGAAAATTGTGCAGTAAAAACCACTGGGCTTATAAAGAAAATGGGATTATGATGCAATACTAAAAAGCTTTGTAATGACTCATGAGGAGAAAAAAAATCAGAACCTAATAAAAATGGTAGCACATTTTTACACATGCATTCTTACATGAAGAAATGCAAAAATACTGCAATAAATATGCTGCTTTGTCTTGAAAAGGACCTGAAGTGGGCACTGGAAAAGAGTTACAAATTGTGAGCTAATGTGGAGTATTGCAAGGAGGCTGACCTGAGGTCAGGCAGAAAGTTGTAAAACTAGATATGGATACATACCATGGCTCATAACTCATAGCTGAATTGACACAGGTAGACATTTAAGGCATGTGCACATGGGTGTATTTTGTGTATTCCTAAACCTTTCAGCTCAATTGGGTTCAACCTTTGACATTCACCTGGTGTCTCTCTGACAAAACCACACATAAGTATAGATGACAGGCTCAAGTTATTCCCTAATATATTAATCTTGTTTGGAATAAATTTTCACTTTCAAAATGTTGCAGAATTAACTGTATTTTCAGATCATTCCCATGGCAAATGAATATATAGGAACATACATTCTATATAGGCTTTTATCCTATACAATAAAAGCCTAATATGCTAAGTGTCTGGTTGTCCGGTTGTCTGTTCAACAATCAAAGTGTAATATGCTAATGATATGTTAAGGCCGCTCAACTCATTATGACGACGTGCACTGACCACCAGGGGGCAGTCGACCAGTTGCTATGATGTGCACTGACCACCAGGGGGCAGACACTCTGAAGACACTCTGACCAGTAGGTTAGCTTGCTGCTGGGGTCTGGTCAATCAGGACTGAGCGAGACAGGCCGGACATGCCCTGGAGCCCTCCCATGGCCCCTCCCTGGCTGGCCAACCTCCTGCATCCCTCCCTGGCCCCAATCATGCATCGGTGGGATCCCCTGGCATGGCCTGCGCCCTCTCACAATCCAGGGTGAGAAACCCCTCCCCCCCTTGAGTGCACAAATTTCATGCATCGGGCCTCTAGTATTTAAAAAAACTGATCAGAAACAGATTAGGCACAGTGTTTTATTACTTGCTTTTTAAAATGTTTGAAATTATAAATGTAATGCATTTCAGGAGAAAAACATCCCAACAAAGCAGCAAATAAAGTAAAACGTAGTTGTACCTCTTCCTCTCAACACACACATATCCCTCCCTTCAACTTCATAAGAATAACTTGTTCTAGTGGGTATTTTGCCATACCTGTTTTTCCTACAAAAGTTTTGATTATCATTATTATTACCATCATCACTTTAACATACACACATTGTTTAATTTTTTTTCTAACAGGCCATATTAAAAATAAGATCTAACAACGTTCCTTCTTGGAGTCAACAATTTATCAGAAACATTCTTCCACTCAGTATATTGTTCTACAGCATTTTTTAAAAACTGGCTGCTGTGGGGTGTGTGTGTGTGTGCGTGTGTGTGTGTGTGTGTGTGTGTGTGTGTGTGTGTGTGTGTGTTATGTATTCCAAGCAGGAAAACAAAATCATTTTAAGTATTTAAAGTAGCGGAATTTGAATACAAAGAATTAATTACAGAGATGATGGAAAAGGTAAAAAGCCAAGTCTGAACAAAGGGACAATCCAGAGATTAATATCAATAGGAAGCCACTTGCATCCTTAAAACTATAGGGACAAAAGGAGGAGGTTGTGTGAGCTGAGCTTAGGGAAAGTTAGAACCACAATGCGCCTGTTTAGCAGGAGCAGCGAGGGAATGGAAAAAACTGCTGTGGCTTCTCCCTACCAACCAATCTCCCCGCAGTACTTATTGGCCTAAAAGAGTCAAAAGCCAGCTGAGAGAGGAGCATAGGAAAATAAGTCTGAGAGGCTTGTCCTTGGAGATACACAGTAAGAAAGGAGGAAGGGGAGAATGCATCTGAGAAAAAAGTCAACCGAAGACCCTCACACCATCATAACTCACTGCACTGCTTCTCCATTGTTGTGCAATCAAGTGTAGTCTTCCAGTTTTAGTTAATAAATATAATGTATCAATGAACATCATAGTATAAATATCTTGTACATTTGTGCACATTTTCACATTAAATAGATTCCCAGCAGTGGAATTATGTGTTGAAGGGTATGTAAAATCTATGCTTTGACAGTTGCTGCCAGATTCTCTTCCAAAATTGTCTTTCACTGTTGCTAACACTGGCTACTATCAATCTCTTAAAGTTTTAGCCAATTGATTGGTTCACAATGTCATCTTGTTTTAATTTGCATTTCCCTAGTGATTATGATAAACATTCCATTACATTTATTAGCCATTTGTTTTGCTTCGTGCATGATTTATTTTAAAATATATCTTGCACATGATTTCATTTTATTGCCTTTCTGTATCTATCTATCTATCTATATAAAATAGAGAAATATGCTAATTAACTTGGACACCGTAATGGGTTGACCGGACAGGAGGAGGTTGCATGCCCAGCATTGGGGGCAGGGCGACAGGGGCCTCCGCGTGCCTGTGCTGGGGGAGGGCCTGATCAGCAGCGGCCATGGCTGCTTCAAGGGCCAGAGGGAGGCAGGGCTGGACCGGCAGCGGCCGTGGCCATGGCTGCTGCGGGGCCCAGTGAGTGAGGCAGGGCCGGACCGGCGACTCAAGGGTGGGCAGTGCTGCGCGATTTCGAATCGCACTGGGCTCCTAGTATATATAAAAGCCTAAGAGATCATTATGACTGAATGACCCAACGGCTGGTCAACCGGTTGCTATGATGCACACTGACCACCAGGGGGCAGATGCTCAATGCAGGAGCTGCCCCCTGATGGTCAGAGTGCTGCCATAGCCAACCTCCCGTGGCCGGCCAACCTCCCGCAGTCCCTCCAGCCGGCAGGCCCAAGATCGGTCCCCACTGGGATTGGGCAAGACGGCCCCGATTGCCAGCCAGGCCGAGGGTCTCCACCAGTGCACGAATTTGTGCACCAAGCCTCTAGTTGATTTATAAGCTATTTGCATTCTATACTTATGTATTTCTTTCATGCATGTGACAAATGTTCTCTCAGTCTTTATTTTCTT